GCCGGTTTTCTTGCTCCTCTGCGTTTGCGGATGATTCTGGAATGATAGTTAAAGTTGAAAAAAAAACGTTAAAATAAAAATTCAAATAGCTAAAAAAATATTAGGAAAAGCGGGTAAATAAAATTTTTTTCAAAAAAAACGGAGACACTTATTTCGAGTGCTAAATTTAAATAATGTGGATAATTTAATAACTGTGGGGTATCAAGAAAATGCTTGCTCGGCTGATGAAAAAATTTTTCATAATTCGCAAGAAAAAGGCATCAAAATCGTTAGCGGAATAAAAATGAGTTAGCGGATCCAAAAACGAGGAAAAAAAAAACGCGAAATTTAGGCCAAAAAGACACAAAGATTGAGTTCAGAAAGCATTGAAAGCACTAAAGGAAAAGCTAAACAACGCTTCAGAATTTAAAAAAAAAGCGCTGCATGCAAAGAAAACAAAACTGCCTACATCCTTATTCCCTCAAAATCTGACTACCGAATGTGATCGAAGAAAAAATGAGGAAAAAATGTGAATACAAAAATGTCGTCCCCATATTCCTGCCGGGGTTTCCCAGGTGTTGTGAAGGCAACAACCACGGGTCCCAGTTCCCGAAAGACTGCCTTAACTTGCTCAAATATGGCTTTTATACCAAATCTTGGGGATCCTCAACCAACTTATTCGTTTTCGGTCCTGGACCTGGCTTTAACGTCTTTTTTTGGCCGAATTTTTAATTTGTTCATCCCATTCTTCATATTTCGTCCCCTTCTGTACCAGCCCTGAGCCTCCACAACGGCAGCCATAAAACGGTATTTTTCTTCGGAGAAGTCACTGAAGGTGGCGAGATTCCGGCACCACTGCTTCCAGCAAACAGTATTTCTATGTTGCGAGCTTCCGACAAACGGTTTTTCTACGTTCCTGGCTGATCGCAGAAATCTCAAAATTCCAATATTCTCAAATAGCAAGTGCAGAAAATCGAAGACTGGCAAAAAGCTCACCGGAATCCGGAACAGTTGCGAGCGTTTCAGGCCGACTAACAACATCTCGCATGGCAGTTTCTTCACTGGGCACATTTCTTGAACCACGGGGCTGTCCTCTGGCGGAATTTTGGAAATTTCGAAAACGCCGATATCCATAACGAGAGCTGGATAAAGCAGCGCCCCGGCCACGTCGCGCCGGTTGGCCCGTACTGGTTTTTGTTTCTTCATGATTTTTCAGTGTTGGCTGGTCCGTTGACGTCATTCCCCGGATAAAATTACAACAGAACGAAATATAGTGAAAAACAGAAAAACCCGAAATCAGTGAATGCGATCTGTAAATAAATTTTTTGCGCATGCCAAGAAAAACAAGCAAAAGTTGCCGGCTGCCAAGAGGACCGCATTTTTTTAACGTGCATCATTTAATACCAAACACACACACACATACACACACACCCATACACACACAGATATTTTCTTCATGGTAGTCCTCCTCGTTGCCTCCCTCTGGTCCTTCGAGCCCATTAATCGAACAGATCGACCCCGTCATAGCTAAGTCTAACAAAACCGATCCCTGACGGCTTATCTACACCAATCCGCACTGTGACTGATCAAGACGCCTTGCCAACGAAACGCGCCCACTGGAATCG